GCCTGCCATTTTTATTCTAATAATAATTTTGCTTATTTTTGGTACCGGGGATTGAACTCCGGACCTTGCACTTGCAAGGCAGGTGCCTGAACCACTGAGCTAAATCCCTGGCCCTCTAATAATGATTTTAACATTATGAAGTTGATATTGAAATGAAAATAACCTATTTCAACCAATAAATTAAATTTTTCTATGTATTTAGAATCACTTCAGGGATTGTATTCATGTGGATAATATATGCATTTAAGTACACAGAGATTGCAATTTTGTATGATATACCTAAAAAACAGTTGAGCACTTACTCTTTGCACATATATATGTAACATGAAGTTATATAAATTTTCAGTGTTTTTGAACACACTACCATTAGCTTTATTTACCCTGACTTTGTATATAGTATAGTGTTTTACTCCTCTACATATTCCTTATAATATGATACAACACATTAGTTGGTACTAATTCAGAAATACAGTAGTTGGTAATATTTTGACTATGCTTAGAGTAACAAAAAAGAGCTCATTGAGTGATATAGTTGTATTCATTTAAACTATGTTATGAAGAGAAAAAATTATTAATTTTTGGTACATCTTAGATTCCTATAATTAGTAGCTTATATATGAACAAAAGATAGAAATATTTGTCTTGTGTGCCATTATATGCTTACATCAAGCTAATATATTGGGTGTTCAATAAACATTTGCTAGATGAATGAATATTATTGATTCTAACTCACTGTAATTTTGAGATAAGTTATATATATATATATTGTATTATGCTTTATGGTTATCACTATGCAAATCATCCAAAGATACCCCACTTAAAGGATCTTAATATTTTCTATAAATTATAAACATCTTGTCACATGTTCTATCCATTGGGATAATAGAAATTAAAGAGCATCCCTGCACATTGCCTAAGTTAGATTGGGAAAAGTACATAACCATGTTTACTCAATTTATGCTGCTGGGCATCCCTCCATGGTAAAAAATAAATTTATGCTACAATTGCTTTTAAAAATCTATGTATTACAGGAAATATAAGAATACTCATTTTATGGGCATTTTACTATAGATAATGAGGAATTTGATGTTAACAGATCTTTAATAATACAAATGTCTTTATTATCATCATCTTTCTACATAAAATATTTTATAATGTTTCATTATTCTGTTGATTAGCAGTCAGTTGAAACACTAATATTAATTTAGTATATCAGAATCAAACCCAGTTGCAATATTGTTTTTCATTTGCACAGAGGAGATCACATTGGATTGGAGAATTTACTCTGAACCTGAGGACCTTATAACAATTGATGAGAGTCAGTTCTTGAATTTTTTGTATTAAAACTTAAAAAAAAATGAACTTTCGGTCCCATCTGACTAATTTGAATTAATTATGGAATTGCTATAATTTATTTATTTTAACTTGTATAAATACTAGAAACATATACAGAATAAAATTCTAGGACATGTGACATTTTGAAGTCACTGAAAGCCCCAATTTTTTTTTTTTTTTGGATACCGGGGATAGAACTCAGGACCCTGTGCTTGCGAGGCAAGTGGCAGAACAACAGCTAAATCCCTGGCCCAAAGCCCCAATTTTTAACATATGAAGACTTCAATACTAAAGTCATATTTGGTGTTTCTTTGATATTCTTTGTTTTTTTTCTTTTGAGATCTAGAAAGCACTTTAATATTTTATCTGTTTCCAAGTGATCAAGAGATTCAAAAAAAATGGCAAGTCCTGTATTTTAAAAAACTGATAAAAGTCACATTGTAATATCAGTGAATGTAGAACTTCATAGATGTGTGTTTCCAACTTTTTCTACTATGATTCTCCATCAAGAAGGTAAAAAAAATTTTTTGTACAATCCAAGAATGTAGACAGTTGTAGCAGCACAGCTATGCAACTGGTGACAGGACACAGGGAGAAGGGCAGAGTCTTCGAGACATGAATCTATCAGTGAAGGCAGCTCTATCTGTGGTTTATCTTCAGTACCAAAATGCGCTCTGAAGTTATCACTGCACGTCATAAAGCCTGGGTTGGTGGGTGAGTGCACTATACAGCACATGATGTTGTTATACCCCAGAAAGTTTCTCTCCTCAGCTGTCCTTGAGTCCCAGTGGCAGAGGCTGATTGTCCTTTCTTCCAACAACACATAGTTGTCTGTGTGGTTAAAGACAGCCTGCGTCCAGGGCACCTGCCGTCCACTCAGAACTGCACTTTGTGTATCTGACCAGCGTTCGTCCTGTTGATCTCTCCCTAAGTTTAGCTGCAGTCTTTTCTATTGACAGATGTATTTAGAATTTTTGGAAAAAATGGCAGAACAGATTTATTGTGTGCTTTCTCGAAAGTTGAGATGCATTGATTTGAAACACCATCCCATATTTTGATGCAGCCATCCTTGCTACAAGTTACATACATATTGGCACTCAGATTGTAATTAACAGAACATATAGCATTGGTATATTGATCTAGAGGATTGCAAGAGACGAAACATTGAAAGGTGTTGATATCATAAAGGTGTAGAGTAGGGTACTGAGTCCCAATAAGTATAAAGTCTCCAGAAGGGTGAAAGGAGATCTTTGCTATTCTTTGAGTTCTATTTGTCTGAGCCTATGCTTGTGATTTCTATGGATAACATTTCCAAAAGAAGGAGGACAAAGTCAATTATAGCTACTGGTCAGTATCTCCTTACCATAAAAAAACTTAATTGTTTTTGAAAGCCTGTCTAGTTGAAAACCTTTTTTTTAGTTTAAATTTTTAAATTTTAATCAAGCTTGATTGACATGCTATCATGTTTTATAGGATACTGTTACAACTACTATTAATCTTACCCTCGTGAAGAACTTTTTAAAACTTGCTTTACCATAATGATTCTCAAAATATTAGTATTCATTCATGTAATTTGTACCACTTTTTGAACCCAGGAATTAAGCCGCATTGTATGACACAAGGAAAATATATGAAGTTTCAAGAAACAGAACTGTGAACTACATAGATATTTAGGGAATATTAATTTTTTTTAAATTTGTTCATTTAAAATGGGAAAGTTTAGACTATATTTTAATGAAAAACTGTTAACATATGACAACACACTAATAAGCATTGCCTATGTGTGGGTTACCCAGATGCCGTTTAGTTTGCATTATAATCTTAATATAGCTTTCTTACTACAGCATTTTCATTCCATGTGTAGCTAGTTAATTAGTCTCCCATGGTGGAGTTTAAGACATGTGAAGAAATTAGGACCTTTTTTTTGACCGTTTGACTGTGTTAAAATTTCTGTATGCTTCTAGAGGTAATTTCAGTATGATTCTATTACTTTTTAATAGAAGGGAATGACTGTTGAACTTTATTTCTTTATGTACAGTTGTCTTAACCTAGAAGTATCATGAAAATTAGAATAAATCAAATGTTGATTATTGCATAGGAAAGACATTGCTTTTAGAAAGATTCTTTAAGGAACATTTGTTATGATTTTAAAAGATATGTTAAAGGTGATTTTTCTGGTAGTAGTAGCAATAATTCTGTGTTGAATTATAATAGCAAACAACTTGCCACACATCTCATAAAATCAGAATTTTTAAATATGATTAGCTTGTCTAATTAGACTGTGAATCACTTTAGATTGGTCAGTCTAGTAAAGCTGAGAACTGTTAAAACCTTAGTTATTTATGTAATTTATTTTAATCTGTTTCTTCTCTACTAAACTAATTTATTTTTCTATGTTTTACATCATTAAAACAAAGGAAATCTTAATGGATTTTCAGTATTTTTATACATCCTATAATACCACACTATGAAAGTTTCCCAGGTGCTAATATCCATGAACATGTTGCCTTAGTAAAAATATACTATTGTGTTGCTTTTCCTCTTTAAAAAAAAACAACTCATTTGTGAAGTCCTTCACAAAGAATAGATGAATTAAAATAATAAATAATATTATTGTCCCTACTTGAAGTTATATTTTTAACAGTGATAAAGAAGTCTCATGAATTTGGAGATAAGAGCTTAGTAGTCTACTCAATTTGAAAAAAATATTGGCTTCACTTTTCTCACAAAATTAAAACGCTTACATAGATTCCATTACCTACAGCCTTGTTTTTATATTGGAAAATGTAAACTGCCAACACACGAGTACCATAGTAACTGTAGTGTTTCTATACTGGAGGGTTTAGGGAGTTGACTTTTTGCTTCATTTTCATAGCAGATAACCACATTGTTTTGGGGACTGGTTTATCTAGAGAAGGAGCTGCTGTAGCTTATGGGGGGCTAATGCCATTCCTTGGTACCACTGTTTCTTAGTTTCAAATGTTTTAACCATTTTATGTTAAAGAGTTTTCTTTTGAAGAAAGCAAAAGTAAGTTTTTCTTCTAAGAAAACAAATAGCATTTTTAAAATGGTAGAGTAAAATGTAACTTATTCAAAAGACCTCATCCTTGAGGTTCTTTAATTATGTGTATGCAAATGAATGCTACTCTTATGTACCTTGCAAATATTATCCTTATTCTTCAAAGCAGTCTCAGTAGGAATTTCTCTATGGTAACCTGTTTAGCAATTAAAGTTACGTGGATACATGAAAGCAATTTCACTGAATTAAAGAAATGTCTACATTTTAGCCTATTTTAAGGGAAATCCATGTCTTCCTTTTCCCTCAATTAGTCCAAATTAGTGAGATTTTACTACATATTAATTCTAGTGTTCCTGTAGATACCTGGTAGAAGAGTAATTAATGTTGTACATTAGTTAAGAAGCAACAATCGATTTTTGGGTCTATTTGGCTTATCTATTCTGCTTAAATGATAATATTTAATTTGTAGGGAAGTCTCTAAGCAGGTCTATATTTTTATGTTTATCCTCTTCCTTAAACTAATGAAATAAACACATTTATTGATTTCAGAGTGGGCTTTATTAATGTTGTTAATATGCCTACTAATGTTATTTTGTGTACTTGGATTTGTTCTGTAATTGCTTATGTATCAACATTTTTGTTTCAGTTCAAAAAAATGCAGATGCTTCAGAAGAAAAGAAGACTATGCCTACAAAGAAGAAAGTAAAAGAATTGAGAGTTTTGGATCCCAAAACAGCTCAGAATCTCTGTATGTAATGTTTTCTGCATTGGGATGGTGTGGTAGTATGAAGAGTTCAATGTATTTAAACAAAGTTGCAGGTCCTCTTAACAGGCATGTGTAGTATCTTGAAGCAAAATTTTGTCTAAATATGATTTGCGTTGCTTTTTTGTCATTTACCCAGAATGGAGAAAATCATAATTATAGCCTTGTTCAGTTCAGATGAAATTTATAAATCATAAAGATTTGCAAAGTATTGTTGATAAAACATTGTTAGTTAAAAATGAACCATGAGGCAGAATTTCTCCTTCTGCCTACAACTTAGATTGGTAATTTTGGGATATTCATTGATTACACTGGGAAAATCCTTTTACTGCTTTTCCTTTATATTTGAAGTAATTGCGATATGAGTCAGTTAACTTGTTATCCAGGGCACTTTAAAACTGGTTACTGAACCTTGAAACTTTTGACAAACGAGTCAGCTCTTAAGTATGCTTTTACTAAAAAGTAGCTGGATATTTAAACTCATCTTCATTTAAGTTAGCCTTTAAATTTTACTTTGATATACTTTCCTCTCTGCGTTTAATTCAGAATACTTTTTGTCCCTTCAGTAGTCTGTCTAGATTCTGAGGATACTAAAATTCTATGCATGAGAAATTTCAATATATCAAGCATTTCTAATTGCTCAAGTACCACCATGGGAATTCCTTTTGTTAAGGACTATGCTACAGACAATCAGATTAAAATAAACAGCTTACTATTCTTGCCTCAGTAGCAATGTTGCTCTCAGAAAAAAATTCTACTAATAGCTGTTGTAAGTTTGTATATTGCTTACTTGGTAGTGAATTTTCTTTATAAAGTTGATATACAGTCTTTTGTAAAAACACAGCATGATCTCAATTGCTGGTTGATAACTGTCAACATCATTTATTTAGATTGTGAAGATCTCATTTGGTCTCTATGTCTGGGTAATCATTGTCCAGACAGTGAAGATTCAATTTTCTTTTGGTACCAGTGAAGGCATATAGTCCTTTTCATGAAATTAAAAAAAAAAAATTCTTAGAAATAGTTCAAACCGGGCCGGGGATTTAGCTCAGTGGTGCTGCTGTCTGCCTTGAAAGCGCAAGGTCCTGAGTTCAATCCTCGGTACCAAAAAAAAAAAAAAGAAATAATTCAAACCTTTATAGTCATAAGCACACATCTATATTCTTCGAAAGGTATATTTAGTGAGCGATTAAAGTGGAATATGTTGAAAAATACTTTCTGAGTAATTGTGAGCTATTCTAGGTATAATTTGCTACAGTATTCCAATATGACATAAAAGAGTGTCCAATTAATAGAAGTTGACAGGGAAAATTATTCAATCTATAAACCAACTAATAGTATACCACATGAGTGTCAGCAGGAATTCATAGTACACTGATGATTAAGGCATTTAAATTTTCTTCTGTGTGGGAGAAATGCAAAGTACAGTAGTCCCTCCTTGTCTTTGGGGGTATGTTCCAAGACTTCCCGTGGATGCATGGAGCCACAGCTAGAACTGAACCCTGTACATACTATATTTTTTTACTATGCATACATTAGTATTCTAAAGTTTAATTTATAAATTAGACACAGTAATGACAATAATAAAGTAGCACGATCATAACAATATGCTGTAATGAAAGTTATGTGACTCTGGCCCCTCTTTCTCAAAATATCCTGTTGTACTATGCTTGTGATAATATGAGATAATACATAAAAGAAGGACTGTACAGCTTCTCTTTGGCATATCCAAACTGCTAGCATCACTACTGTTATACTTTGGTACTATTATTAGTTAAAAGTAAAGATTTTTTTTGGGGGGGTACCGGGGATCGAACTCGGGACCTTGCACTTGCGAGGCAGGTGCCAGAACCACTGAGCTAAATCCCCGGCCCAAAAGTAAAGATTATATGAACACAAGCACTGAGATCCTTAACAGTTAATCTAATGACCCAGAAAACTACTAAGTAATTAAGAGACAAGTGGCATATACTTTGCAGATAGAATGGATAAAGAGATGATTCACGTTTGGATTGGAACAGAGTGAGATAGCATGAAATTTCATCATACTACTCAGAATAGCACTCAATTGAAAACTTTAAATTGTTTCTTTCTTGCACTTTCCATTTAATATTTTCAGACTATGGTCAATGACAAATAAGTAAAACCATAGAAAGTGAAACCCCACAGATCATGGAGGACCAGTGTAGATTAATACAATTTTATTTTAATTTGATAACTTTACTGCCATTCCTGAGAAGTACTGTCTTGAATGCATCTGACCATCTCTACATTCAGTTATTTATTGAATTAAAATACCAACTTGAAATAAAATCTCTGAGTTTATATGTGTCATTCTGTATTGGTTCAACCTAAAAATGCCTGAGCATATAGTTATAAGTGCGATTAGCAGTTCTATTTTGTGTAAATATACATAAACTCTAAGCATTGGAATCTGAGATAATGGGTCATTTTGCCTAGATGGATAGAGTAGTCCATCAAATGAAAACAGCTATTGTTTGCTCATAATTCTCTATATTAGCATTAGGGACTAATTTTGTATTTTGAATCTATAAAATGGCAATCAGTTCTATGTAGGAATTTTATATTTTGATACTGTTTTATTTTTTAATAAAATCAAATTTTATCTTAGCTATCTTCTTGGGATCATATCGCATGCCATATGAAGACATAAAAAATATCATTCTGGAGATTAATGAAGATATGCTGAGTGAGGCCTTAATTCAAGTAAGTTGGATATTCTTTTTAAGCTTGTTGTCACAGGTATTTCTAGATTGCTGTCTTCTCGGTGGAGCTGTGATAAAATACTCATCGGTATTTGAAAAATAGAATCAGGAGTATCTAGCTATATTGATATTAAGAGAACTCACCCTTTAAGATCTTGGTTCTAAATCTGTTTTGGCAATTCATTAGCTACATGTCCTTTTAAATATAAGCATATGCATATGTAGACATATCATTCTATTTCATTTACCATACTTGAAATTACATGTATTTTATTATCACAATGACCCCATTAATTGGCTATTGCTATCACTATGTTATATAGGAAAATACTGAGAGTTCAAGAGGTTAGAAAGCTTGCTGAAGGTCAATGAGTAATTGATAGAGTTATGCTTTTCAGTGTATATAAGAGGCTGGGGATCATGTCAAAGGCTTCATGTGTTTATTATCTCATTGACTCCCATACTAATCCTATAAGACTTATCCTCCTTTTACAAAAAGGGAAAACTGAGGCTTAGAAAGATTGCTGAATCTCATGTGGCATGCCAGTGGCAATGGAGCAGATAAAGGATTCAAAACAGAATCTTGACTATAAAGTCATTATGTTATTTGGACTCCCATGGGAAAACTAAAGCTTTCTAAACCTGTTTCCTCATCTGAAATTACAAGGTCATTGTGAGGGTGAGGATTAATCCAAGTAAAGTGTGTGTACAATAAGATCAAGCATATTATTAGAATCCTTATTGTATTTGGCCCTGTCTGATTTAATTTCCTGAAAGGAGAACGGCAAAGTTTTTTTGGTAGAAAGGCAGAATCATTCAATTATTTTATTGGGGGGAAGTATTTTCTTTCCTTTTGAGCCATGAAATTTGTTTTTAAGATTACAGTGAGCAATTTATGCTATATAACTTTACCAATTTTGCCATAACCCCCTCAGACTCCATAAGTCTTAGAGAACCTGTTTCTAATTTGAGCAAACCATGTCTCTATATAACTTTCTCTGTTTTGCAAAGTGAGCTAACATCACAGTTTATCTTATATGTTTTAAATGTAGACATTATCTTCTTTAGTACTAAGTTTTAATGAGTTGATATGGCTGTTTATTATCATGCTACACCAATATAAGGGTTATACTTTTATGAGAAAGCCCTTTGTAAGGGAAAAACTGTGCGGAGAGAGAGAGATTGTTTGTGTGTGTCTGTGTGTATGTGTGTGTGTGTGTGTGTACCCCGCACAACCTGGACTATAGGCAAGTCAGTAGTTCCCTGGATTAAAATAGGGAGCTGACTATATTCATCCTGCACAGAACTGTTTATTCAACAATTAGAATGAGCAAGGCATTAAATCTAAATCTGATTTACTTTTCCTTCTCTTTTTTAATTGGAGAGTTTAGGTTTTTTTATCCTTTTATTGGTACATTTTAGGTGTACAATATAATGACATTCATCATTGGAGATATGCACCTTTACATACTCTCTTGGTTCTTATTTTTCCCCCTTCCCCTGGCCTCCCTTCAACCCCTCCATCCCACCCTATTTATAAAGACTTTGTTTCCATTTTTTCATTTTCTCATATTAATTCATTCCCTTCTTTCCTTTCCCCTACCCCTCATACTTCCCCTTCCCCTACCCCTCATACTTCCCCTTCCCCTTTACCCCTTTACTTCCTATTTGACAATATCTATTATACCTTTTAGACCTTATTTACACTTTCAGTTTCTCACACTAGAGAGACTATTCAGTATTTACACATGTGTGTCCTATTTATTTCACTTAAGAGTATCGCCTCAATGTGCATCCATTTAGCTATAAATG